CCCTCTAGTGGTTTTTCTGTGATGTGGTAACAGACAGACGGACATACAGACAGACAAGCAGACAAAAAATCTAAAAACTATAGATTCGGCCTCTGTATCGATAATTATGTTTATTTCAATAAGATTTTCCAAAAAATATTTAATGTACAGATTCGGCTTAGTTACAATTTTATTATACGTATAGATAAGCGTATATCTTAGTGCAAAAGAATTTGTACAGTAAGAAATAATGTCTTTTTATATTATTTAAAAGCGAAAGACCGCAATGCTTATGAAACGTTTTTTTTGATATAAACATATTATTTAACATGAACACTTACATCAAATATAAAACTTTTATATTAAATTATTGATTGATTGATGTTATAAAACCATTAAAAAAATTCATAAATTAATTCGCATAATTATGTTATTAAATTAATTAAATTGTATTTACACATATTGTAAATCAACCAATTACATTGAAGACACGTTTGGCTCAGTTTGTATTGACCCTGGTTGATGTGCCAGCGGTCGCGGGTTCGAGTCCCGATGGGGGACATTCATTTCTGAGATGAGCACGAATGTATGTACTCCAGTCATGGGTGTTTATATTTATAATATATATGTATTTAAAGTTATATATTTGTAGTGTATGAACTATCTGGTATCCATAACACAAGCCTCGTAGATGTAATTAGTTCATATTGTGTGAATCGCAATAAGAACAGTAATTCTGATTAATATTTTTTGGTCTTAAAGGTAGCAATAGTGTTGCTTAATATTTTAACTTTCAATAATAGCAATCTAAATTAATATTTTAACTTCTTTTAAATTACATATAAAACAATAATATTCCTTAAATAAATAATTAATATTTTTTTATTTTTAATATTCTTTATGGTTATACATAATATAATAATAGCAACACTTAATAATGTTAGTACTTAATAAAGTTTTTTAAAAATTGAAATATTTATAATAATAATAGTTAAAATTAAATAAATAATATTGCTACATTTAATTAAAATACTTATATTTTTTTAAAGATTGGTTAGAAATAAAAATCTAAAAATATTGTAAGGTACTTCATTACCATTTTCGAAATAATTTTTGTAAAATAGTGAGAAGGTACTATTTGTAACAAGTATGTGTTTGAGACGTCTATAACCTTAGTCTCTCCCGTGACCATGATTACTGTAAAGCATTCGAAACGTCGGGAACCAAAAATCAAAATAAATCCGCGAAGTAACCTGAAAAGATAGTTAAATTAAAATTATGACACGAAACAAGATATTATGCTATTATACGTACAATAATTATTACAGTTGTTAATAAAACTTATATTATTGTCCCGCATTGCCCGCGGCTCCGCCCGCGTGCAGATGACCAAAAACCAAATTCTTAGGTTTTACATATTAGTATACTCTTACATTGCAGTTTTTGTATTTTTTCTCAAAAAGGAGATATATTCTCGCGGAAAAATGTAGCCTATATGTTGACCCGGATAACCACCTATCACCATACCAAATTTCATCAAAATCCCTCCAATGGTTTTTCTGTGATGCGGTAACAGACAGACAGGCAAAAATTCTAAAAACTATAGATTCGGCCTCTGTATCGATAATTATGTTTATTTCAATAAGATTTTCCAAAAAATATCTAATGTACAGATTCGGTTTAGTTACAATTTTATTATATGTATAGAATATACCAACATAAGACATAATATGTTATACTGTATATAATTAAGGATTTTAGAACTAGTCTGAAGACTTAATGTACCAGTATCCATATTACATCCACAGTAACTCTGCATGTAGGTATATTGCCAACTCACGCTATAACTATTAAACAAATTTTGATAACATTTGGCAAAGACTTAGACTTAGCACCATAGGGAATAATTTTTTTTTATTATAAAATAAAAAAAACCGACTGCATAAAAGCTAACAAAAAGGTGAAAGCAACTTGACGAAGGATTATAGTCACGTACACCTCGCGGCCTCTAGAATGCCATATAGGAACAAACAAACAAACAAACAAATAAACAAACATTCATACGTTCATAGACTGATAAACACATTAATCTCCTTTGCATCGCGCAGTTGGGTAAATAGAGCCATTGTAAATAAGTAGTACATTACAAAATTACTTGGAAATATTAAGTATTATTAAATTTGATAATATTTCCAATCCTTAAAAGAAATTCAATAATTTCAAAACAACTATCTCGGCTATATGATACGATTGCGAAACGAAGACCTCAGGGAGTGCGTCCATTTGACGTCTAATTGAGTCGATATGTTATACTTACAAACTAACTAGAAGCACTGCAAATTCGCTGATACGAAATTTTAATGTTCAAGCTTGTAACGTAGCAGTTGATGTTGATCATTACCTTGTGCTAGTTAGAGTTGGGGTAGCACTTCTATAAATTAATTTTTATTAATATCCATGTCATAATCAAATGAAAATGACCTTCTTTTAACGTTGGAAAATGCATTTACGCATGCTACCTAAATGTATACAGGTGATTATGTTGGAAGCACCAGTAATGCCAGTACTACCTATTATACCCAAAACGAATCTGTCCCGTCTTCATGGGACGTCGCAGGATCGCTTACGCACACAACCACGACGCCCCGACGGCAGGTCTCCCGAAGCAGATCACAATAGCCATGTTGCTTCAACGGTCAACTAACTATCAGAGAGGTGCCAGGAGCACCCCGCATGGCACACGGCTGCCCGAAATGGGCCGATTTCTAGTGCGTTTATTGGTTTCGCACCCGGCTGGATTGCCGGATGCTACAGATGGGGGACCACGACAAGGTGAACACACACTGGGGGGTAAAACAGAATGACCTAGTCAAATGGTGGCTATGATAGAAATTAGCCAAAGAACAACCCTAACAATATTATAATAATATTTATTTAGGCCTGAAACTATTTTTCATTAGTAACTTTTATTATCATTAACAGGCCTTCAATTTTCAGTAACGTTTTTAAAGTTTGTGAAAACTATATCTATACTTATAATAAATCTGTAGAGAGGTCAATTCTGTACATGAAATATATTTCCAAAATAACTATCAGGGGGTGATTAGGGATCGATTCTGATGCCAAAAATGCAATCAGTAAAATTTTTGTCTGTCTGTCTGTCTGTCTGTCTGTCTGTATAACCGTTATAGAAAAAAAAACTACTAAACGGATTTTAACGAAACTTGGTACAATTATTTTTCATACTCCTGAGCTGGTTAAGGTATACTTTTCATCACGCTACAATCAATAGGAGCAGAGCAGTGAAGGGAAATGTTGGGAAAACGGGAGAAGTTACTCCATTTTTTTAAGCTTCCGTCGCGTGTGCAACCTTAATGGTTATAGCTACACAGAAATCATGTATGACGAAAATGTTCTCCTTAAAATTATATAAAAATTATCCCACGACAGCATATGTCTATCTTTTATGGTTGACTCACAATAACACGTGTAACTCCCGATAGCTTAGCAGTTCGAAGCTTTCTGATTTATATTTGTCTACTCTTACGTTTATAACACTCTCAGTCATCCCTAATTAAAAAAGTTAACATTATAAACTATTCCATGAAAAAGAATCATAGAAATCGGTATAGAAACACCAAAGTTATACATGAAATACGCTAATAATAAGCCATCGCGCGTGAAAACTGATTCATGTGGATTATTTTTATTGTATAAATCGGTCGCCGCGCTCTATTACATATGAAAATTACATACAAAAAATGTGTTTTTTTTTAATAGATAGAGTGATTCAAGAGGAAGGCTTTAAATATATAATTTGTTAAGTTTTTGTATACATTGGTTAAAAAATAACGATATTTGTTGGAGGTGTCGGAAAAAATAAGACGTCTGGGAACTTTCAACGAAAACGTTGCCAAAACCCTTTGAGATATAACAAAATAATGTATGGTGGAATTGTGTATCTTATATAGGTCTACAGAAAAGTCCGCGATGACATATGTCTCTCTTAAGGATAACATACTGTGTATATCCATTTTAATTTAAAACGTACCTAATAAACCTTTTAATAAAGAAATTCTAAGTATTTTAGTGAATAAATAATTCACAATAATTTTATTTTATTACATTGAATTTATTGCAAGCAACTATTGCTTGAAAATTGTTGTAGCCGGACGAAGCGGCTTTTACATAATATACGAGAATCGATCCCACTAATCGATAGATACAAGTACGAGTAAACATACGACTACTACCACGACTTGAACTGACATTCTGAATCAACAATCGATATATATTGATGTTATTAATTCACGGAATATTTTTTTCGATTTTTCCTATAGCATCTATTGAATCACATGCACATAACGTGCATTTTCACGATAGAGTCCCGCTGGGAGCATTCATTTGTGTGATGTACACGAACATTTGTACTCCAGTCATGGGTGTTTATATTTATAATATATATGTATTAAAGTTATATAAATGTAGTATATCAACTATCTCGTATCCACAATCTTTACTCACAGATTTCTAATGATTCCTTATTGAGCTTGGGACTGAAAATTAAACTTTTCTAAGTTAACAAAGGCCTTTACCGTGCCAGAGCCAAGATTAATTTATTGGAATTCTAAAGGAAATTTTGGTCCTTTGTGTCCCATACAACTTTATAAAGGTGAGTCCTTTTCACCCCTTTTAATAATATTTTCTTATAAAATATATCCTTTAAATATATAATTACTAACTCTTACAATGGTGTCATAAAAGCTATTAAGGTACGAGTAAAAAGTGGGGACGCATCTGACGGAATAGGTTGATCCATTTCCTTTAACATCGACACCTCCCTCCCAGCAATGTTTGTTCAACTTGTCGTGGCTCATTAGGGTCTGCTAATCCAGCCAGGCGTTCCAAGTTCCAATATTGAAATGGTCATAGATTTAAAATATTATATTTTTATTTTCAGATAATTTATCGGCATTGGAATGACCTGCTACGGTTCGTTCCACAGTCTGCCCCCGTAGAAAATGATTCCTTGTTGGCCAAGTTTATTTTTCTTCTTAATATGGTAAGTATTTATTGAGATAATGTTGATAATTAAAACATAAACAAAAAAGGAAGGTAATTACTTTAACATCAGTAAATCTTTACGGCTTTATTCTTAAACGTGCAATTAAACGTGGCTTCGTCAAGTTAGTTTAGTAGTAATCCGAAAAAAAATCCATGAAATGTTCCACTCTTTCTCACGCTCTACGACTTAAATTTTGAACAAAACACTTTTCTTTCTCATGCGCTAAACCTTTATACAAACCGGCACATACACAACAGTTCAGTATCTTTTACTCTTGTATTTGTCAACCATTTTTATATTTTTTATATTTTTTTTGTTTATTACCCTATAGACGAGCTATAGTGTTATTAAAAAAAGTGGAAATAGTTTTTTTAACAGTTTATATAGATAGTTAAATTTTATTTATATATGTTTTTCTCAAAATTAGAGATGTTTATGGTTGAACCTAGGGGGGAAAACTAGTAAATGTAAATGTAAATGGTAAACTGTAATAAGCAATCTATCTATACATATAATAAAATTGTAACTAAGCCGAATCTGTACATTAAATATTTTTTTGGAAAATCTTATTGAAATAAACATTATTATCGATACAGAGGCCGAATCTATAGTTTTTAGAATTTTTGTCTGTTTGTCTGTTTGTCTGTCTGTCTGTCTGTCTGTCTGTCTGTTACCGCATCACAGAAAAACCACTGGACGAATTTTGATGAAATTTGTTATGGTGATAGCTGGTTATCCGGGTCAACATATAGGATACTTTTTACCCTGAGAAAATATCTCATTTCTTAGAAAAAAATTCAAAAACTGCACTGAGTATATATATTACTAGTATGTAAAACCTAAAAATTTGTTTTTTGGTCATCTGAACGCGGGCGGAATCGCTGGCAATGCTAGTATAATATAAAACTACTGTAAGCCATCTACTAAAGGTCACACATTAGTTAGATATCAGCGGTCGTTTATTAACAGACCACAACGCCACTGTAATCGCCTGAATAAGATCCACGATAAGCGACCTTGAACTAAACAGCTTACATGTGAATACGCTGCACGGCAAGGAAAGTAGTTTTTGATGAATACAAGACAATGATATTTTTTATGTCGTATTGTTTTTCCATACAATTAAAAAAAGTCAATCATTCAAATTATAACACAGTACCAAAATCTTTAAAAAAACGTGTGGTTGTACTTATGTACGCTCGTAAGAAGTTATACTTCTTTGACGTAACAGAACAAAAATAGCTAAAGATTTCATCCTGTACGTCACAACTCTCTGTAAAAGGAATGATAAATTAATAAAATAAAGCATATTAGGCATATTACAATCATATATTTATAGAATATCATTTAAGGACATCAGACAATAACAACGGTTACCATGGCAACAAACCATTATCAGCTAATTTTTATCATGTCGCTTTCAGCTAACTACATCATGTCGCTTTTTGACTGTCAGTGTGCGCGCGCATCGTAAAAATTTTTCACTCATATTTTTTCCCAAACGTCCCAAAAGAAGTATAACTTCAAAATAATAATAACAATGTCTAGAGAAATTTGCACCAGAATTTAGTCGTTTCTTTCAACTGATCCTTATCCTACGGTACGTGTGATTGGCACAATACGAGTATATTTCCCTCTTCCGCTTTCCTCTAAAAGCCGTCATCTCAGCAGATACATTTGTCATAGTTGTTAGTTTCTCGTCGGCTCTTTCTCAGCAGAACTGCTTTCAGACCCGGTGGTAGCATCCTCACGGAACGATAACAGTGACACTATTTAAATTAAATTGACTATACAAAAGTGCTTGTATACGTCCAGACTCGCGGGACCGGACTCGCCAATTTACGAAATTATATTTTTTCACAATTTCAACTTGCCAAAAGGACCTTCCCAAAATTCGTCACGAGCTCTCGGGCTAAATTGAATAAGGTTTAATTTCATTTCATGTCTAGCGGTAACGCTAAAATTTCTGTCGACGCTTTTTTTTATTTTGTTATCAGCACATTCAAACGCTTTAATTATTCTTGGCAATAATTTTATAAACAAATAAAATTAACCAAGTGCGTGTCGGACCACGCGCAATGTAGGGTTCCGTAGTTGCCCATCACAATAATGCGGACTAAGGACAGGGTTTTTTGTAAGGATGTTATGATTTTATTTTTGTATTTTTCACACGGTAAACTTATATTTACTACCTTTTTTACACAACTAACTACGTTATATAAGTAATTTTCAATGAAATTTGTACAAAATTTTTACTTCTCCAAGTACATTTTATAAGTTTACGAGTAATTACTCGTAAACTTGTAAATCTTACTTAGCTGTGATAGATAGTTTTCCTTTTAATTTTGTTATACGAGTATATAATACTACCGTGATTTTTTTTACGTATCCAAAAACAAATATTTAGCTGGCATGGGGAACACTTAACTCTAACAAAAAATAGTACTTTAAAGCTTAATATTTCACAAACGGATATCTTAATCGAAAAATTGTTTTTACAAACCCTCAATATTTTTAGAAAACTTATCCAACGACATGTGTGTGGTAGACGAAAAAACATCCCCACTTTATTCAAAAGTCCTTGTAAAAATCTATTTGAATTAATAAGTATATTTTGATTCGATTTGTTATATTACCATTGGTATATTACTTAGAACTTACTGTGAGCTTATTGTGTGTAGACTGTAGAGTTTATTGTCAGAAATCATAATAACTTTAATTGAAGTCAGAAAAGAATGGCCGTTTTTGTCGTTTACTTTAGCTGCTATCGGTACTTGGACAGCTAGGGACGCACTTTATCGAAGCAAGGGTTAGTCATAGTCACTAAGTAGTCTACACTACTATTATAAAGAGGAAATATTTGTATTTTTGTATGTTTTTAACGAATAAACTCAAAAACTACTTAACCGATTTAGATGAAATTTGATTAAAAGATAGTTTGAGACCTTGGAAAAGATATAGGATATTTTGTTTCCGGAAATCATCCCTTAAGGGTGAAAATTTGTATGGGAAATCAATCTAGGCACTAACTAGAGCGAAGCGAAAGTGAGTCGCTAGTACTTAATGTAGGGAAACATGAAAGAACTGAGTAAAAACCACACATAATAACTCGCAACTTTAGTATACATTTCTTATTAAAAAAAATATTTATATTTTATAAACATTTATTGATATTTGTGATGACTCCATAATGTCTTTGTTACAAGAAACTCCACCCAACCGTAATCGAATTAATGACCTACGTGCTATACAAAAGGCAGTGATATTTAAACAATGTTTCAGTGACTGTAACAAAATGATAATGAAATGAAATTATTTAAAGTAACAATGTTAATGGGTTTTTAAATTTAACATTAGAAATTGTTAAGAAAGCTTAAAGCTAGTTTTCAGAGTTCAAACTCTAGGTAATTTACCTAAAGTTATATGAGATCGCATTTGCACGAATACCGTGTTTCGTTGTTTTTAACCCCCGACGCAAAAACGACGAGGTGTTATAAGTTTGACGTGTCTGTATGTGTGTCTGTCTGTAACATCGTAGCTCCCGAACCGGTGAACCGATTTCGATTTAGTTTTTTTTTGTTTGAAAGGTGAATTAGTTGGGAGTACTCTTAGCTATGTTTGATGAAAATCGCTCCAACATGGCTGCCGCCACAAAATGGCGGATTACATATTTTTTCACAACACCCTCAATATGAGTATCATAAAAGGGCTTGACTAATAGAATACTATACCTACACTATGATAAATTTCAAATCCAAGATGGCCCCCACCACAAAATAGCGAAATACATGTCGGTTTTTTTTTATTTTAATTTAATCTAGTTATAATTTTAAGTACATATAAATAATATACAAGCATTATATTACAATAATCAAAATAACGTAATAAAACAATTTTCTAATAAGTTCTTAAAAAATGTACATGTCATTCTAGTGATTTAAACTGTATAAGTTGTCATAGAAATACTGTAGTGATTCTATGACGTAACGGTAATAAATTCTATAAAATAATTTAAATAAAACATAAATGATATGGAAATATCTATTTAGATTATCAATCTAGTCGCAGCTCCGTCAAGTTCACTCAGGATACTAATAGGACTGGGGAAGCGTTGTAGTCTTCAAGATATTCGCAGAACGACCTATGTCTACATGATTTTAATGTCATCGTCCATAAAAGTGTATGAGAGTGCTTTCTCACGTACTAATGTCAGCGGCAGTAACAGTAAATAAATAAGTTTCTCCAATGGCCATACGATATTGGATAAAACTCCATATCTATATATAAATCTATTGTCGTTTGTCAGTCTCGCTAAAACTCAAGAACGGCGGGGCCGATTTGAATTATTCCTTTTTTGTTTTGTTGGGTGTGTGCTATGGGTGGTTTAAGTATAGAAAAGTAGAGAAAACCGAAAAAAAAACAGCTGGAAAATCGTATAGTTCAGAACTGTTCTTTTTTGTACCTATGTATACATAATACATACATATATAATATGTAGTCTATCTGTTCCATACTTACCATTAAAACGTACCTAGGAATGAACCCGAGCGAAGCGAGGGTGAATCGCTGATACAAAATAAAAATGGCTTTAAAGGTCGTTGTTACTGTAACATATACGCATATTGTGTAAATATATATATATATATATATATATATATATATATTCGTTATACAATAAATTCCTCGTATATCAAAAAAGTTTTCAGTTCTCAGTGTGAATATATCTTTTTTAAATCGACCAATTCTCAATCTTCAACCGTGTCTTCTCCATTCTACATGTCATTGGCGAAGTAAAATGTGCCTAAATGGCATGCCTATAAGCTACAGGACAAAGAAAATAACATATATGAATATATTATATTATGTTCTTTGTTCTGCGCATTTCCTAAAACAAATGGTTTTAGTAATGCAAAATCCAAATATACGGAAGCGCCGCCTATCACATGTCTTAAATTCATACGCTACCTACTTATATGACAGGTGAAAGACGTACCGTT